CTTTCGGGGGTTTTCATGTCTGATTGTCGATCTGTCCTGTAAATGTTCTCAGTTGGAAATCGTTTCATTTTTCATATGACAGATAAAATAAAGATAAAACGTTCTGCAGATGAATCTCCTCTATTGACAGTAAATAATGAGCACAGCTCGTTTGGATCAGAATCTTCACACTTTGCTCTCAAAGGTCACGTCTTTTTCTCGAAGAGGTTCAATGAGGTTGGGAGGCGGAGCTTCTTCTGTCTCCTCTTCTGGGATTAAAAAGAAGAATTACACAGAAATAATTCAAGGTTAGCGTGAAACTGAAAATGAAAACATAAAACAGATCAGGTCTGGTGTTAAAGTAAACCTAAAGATGTTGGTGTTAAACACAAGAACCTTGTTTTGTTGGGTTGGAAGATGTTGGACTTTAAAAGTTCTGATTCATGAACTCATTTCCTGTTTCTGACTCTGAACCTGGACAGCTGTTAAGTTTCAGGACCCTCATGCATAAAGGATTGCGCAGCTTTCACACTAAAAGTTGACATACGGACAGTTTTAAAAAAGTGTGCCACACCAAAATATTCAGATGTATAAAATCGTGCACACGCAGGTTCCTGTGCTCCTCTCCTTTATACGTCCCAATGAAGGTGGAGCTGAGACACCTGAGACTCCTCCCCTGACACGCCTCCATTTAAATCTGTAAAATAGATGTAAATGTGTCCAGAGTGTGAGATTCTCCTCAGATTGTCTCTCTGTGGGATCAGACATGAGTTTCACATGCAGGAAAATTATACATTAAATGGAGAATGAGGGAGAAAACTGTCTAAATAAGTAGTGGAGTGTCATTGTTTTATGTGGTGCATTCACACAGGACAACCAAAGCCTGAGATTCTCCTGAAATTAGACAACTCCTGAATGTGATGTTGAAGCCTGGTTAGTTGTTGTCTGTTTAGTTGAACACGGTGTTGAACGGACGTTAAAAAACAAAACAAAAAACATCCCATTATCCACTTTTTCCTCTCTCCTTTCCTCCTGCGTTACAGCAGACAGACCCCCACCCCACCCCCACCAGCAGGTACCAGTGGTAGTCTACAGATTTTTAGTAAAAATCAGATTTTTTAGGCTCATTTGATGGTAAATGTCCAAACGGGTTGACACATATGAACACCTTCCCAGCTGGTGAGGGTGCACGCCTGGCACGAGAATCTACCTGAAGCACAGCTGCTGCACTACGACCACAACTCAGCTCAGCATCAGTTAGAAGGTCACACACAGAAAATATAATTATTCTTACCGTACAGTGAGACACCATTTGTATCTGATTTTGCTCCCTCTCTTCAGCCTTTTTTATTTTATTTATTTATTTTATGTCGCACGTAATTTGTCGTGCTTTTCTGGCCTGAGACCCAAAAGGTTTTCAACTATGTGACAAAAATATAAAACCAGTTTACAGNGTTTTATGTGGTGCATTCACACAGGATAACCAAAGCCTGAGATTCTCCTGAAATTAGACAACTCCTGAATGTGATGTTGAAGCTGGTTAGTTGTTGTATATTTAGTTGAACACGGTGTTGAACGGACATTTAAAAATAAACATCCCATTATCCACTTTTTCCTCTCCTTTCCTCCTGCGTTACAGCAGACAGACCCCCACCCCACCCCCACCAGCGGGTACCAGTGGTAGTCTACATATTTTTAGTAAAAAACATAGATTTTTGAGGCTCATTAGACGGTAAATGTCCAAACGGGTTGACATATATGAACACCTTCCCAGCTGGTGAGGGTGCACACCTGGCATGAGAATCTACCTGAAGCACAGCTGCTGCACTACGACCACAACTCAACCAGCATCAGTCAGAAGGTTACAAACAGAAAAAATAATTATTCTTACCGTACAGTGAGACACCATTTGTGTCTGATTTTGCTCCCTCTCTTCAGCCTTTTTTATTTTATTTATTTATTTTATGTCAGACGTAATGTGTCGGGGTTTTTCCGGCCCGGGACCCAAAAGGTTTTCAACTATGTGACAACAATATAAAACCAGTTTACAGACTGGACTGAGGGTCTTTGATCAKTTTCAGACTGATCTGTTTTCTTGTCTGAGGTTAAATGATTTTCAGTTTCATCATSGTTCAGTTTAAACAATAAAAACTCAAAGTAAAATAAAAATCTAACAGCGTGTTCAGACGCTCCTTACATCCAGAAACACAACAGAGTCATTTTTCTGTGGGTTCAGATCAGATTCAGGACTTTGTGAGTTAAAACTGTCGACTGAAAACTTTGTGTGTCTGCTGCACATTATCACAGCAGGTGAAACGTGTGTGTAAATATACACACACTTTCACACAACGTTGGTTTTTATACATCACAACGTGGGTGTAGAACCTGGCGCACAACTTTTAATGTGTACACACCGTTTATACATGAGGACCCTGGACTTTGAGGCTGGGGGGTCCTCAAAGTCTGAACCGGCTCACCATGGACCATATCAGTGTTTAGTCAGATTAGAACCTCCACCAGATAATCCACCACAGTGTGAGCTGACCTTTGACCTGCCGGGCCAGGAGACGTGGTCCTGCCAGTCCAATACCCAGAGCACCAATGGGAGCTGTTGTCAGGATGGCTAACACCGCTAACGTTAGCACGTCCAGACCAAACTTGATGACGGCCTCGTCACCCTCCTCCCTCGCCATGTCCAACGCCTTGGAACCAATYGCAGCCTGACGAGACAAAAACATCTGCTTATGAACTTAAGAAGGTCTTTATGAGGACCACTAAACCCTGAGGCTCAGACGGGTTTTCGGGCCCTTGTGAGGACYAATAAACCCTGAGACACTGATGGTAACACCTCAGTGATGACAGGTCTTGGGGTTTAAACGTGTTCAGACCTGTACAGTGGCTTTAGGCAGCCAGGCCACAGAGATGAAGAGTTTCTCCTTCAGATTAAATCCTGCAAAATGAACCAGCAGGAATGTGACGAGGAGCCGGATCACCAGACCAATGAAGATGCAGGCCACACCCAGACCTGAGACACAACACAGACAGTTTATAGTAGAAACAGTGAGATCACAAAAATACCTGCGTGTCATCCTGAGGAGGCCAGAAATAACTCCAWTCCAAACCAGCTCAGATCAGGTTCTGGATCTTACCCACGGTGCTGGGACTCAGGGATGTTATGGTGATTTCAGCTCCTATCAGACCAAACAGGAGGGGCTGGAACACATCCCAAGACCGACCCACCATAGCTGCCACCGCAGCCTGGAGACATGACACCATCTTCAGTAAGCAGRTCTAAAGGTGTGGACAGTATGTAAAGGGACAGAAGTCATGGGTCAAGGACTCTTCAGGGGTGTCACCTTGTCAATCTTCCATCCCAGAGCAGCCAAGAAGGCCAACACCAGCGTACAGAGACCACCGGCTCCCGCAAAACCAATGACATGACTGAAGAAGACTGAGAATATGGACAGACCCAACAACATGAGAGTCCTCCTGGACACCAGGTCCTCCTGCGTGAAGACAGAAGACCTTCAGAGACATTTTTATCATGGGTACGTGAATACTTTACACAATGTCAAACCTGGTCATTGCTTGGGAAAAGRACCAGGAACAGACCCAGGATCAGTCCTGCTAGGATCCCTCCCCCCACCTCCAGCAGACCTTTGAGGATGTTCATCCATGTAGAACCTGAAGGAACAGACTGACGATGTGGAGAAGAGCAGAGACACTGAGCAGAAAAGAACAGAAGAACATCTCTGACCTGTTGAAAAGGCCATTCCCAGGCAGGTGGAGAATCCTGTTATGGCTAAGATATCATCGAAGCTTCCTGCAGCCATGAGCAACGTCGGGATTCCCTGARAGCAAGAAGGAAGCATGTTTCAGGTCGACAAGAACATCACCRGTTCAGGACAAACAGAACTTCTAAGACCTCATCGCTGCTGGTTGAGTGTTCTTCTGAACTCTGGAACCAGTCAAGATTATCTACTGAACAGTYAGAAATCTTCATAAAGACTCAGGAAAGATTTTATCTGGTTTCACCAAGTGTTTGGTCAAAACCCAACAAAGAGCCCTCTAAACATGGTCYACTACTGATCCGGTTCTCATGGTCCTTCAGGAGGTCCAGCAGAGTAACAGATCAGTTTATCACTGATCAGCTGTGATGTGAGAGTTCTCAGAAGGASCAGTGGTCCACATGGATCTGATGAGTCCTGTTAAAGAGTTCTGGGTTTGTTCAGAACCAGCAGGAGATGATTTACCTTCTCCACTCCATATCCCTCCCTCTGCAGGAGCAGCATTGATGGAACCACCACAGCTGGAGACACAGCAGCCAGAACAAACCTAAACAAACAGAGTCACCATGTGTTATTATACCCAGAGTTATACTGAGGTGTTTCACCCCAGGATGAAGACTAGACCCAGAGTTATACTGAGGTGTTTCACCCCAGGATGAAGACTAGACCCAGAGTTATACTGAGGTGTTTCACCCCAGGATGAAG